AACTACAGGCCAGTGTCCCTAACCTGCATACCATGCAAGCTGATGGAGAAGATTGTGCGAAAAAAGCTAGTGGAACATCTGGAGCGAAGGAACTTTGTGACACAACACCAACATGGGTTCAGGGATGGCAAGTCCTGCCTCACAGGATTAATTGAATTCTACGACCAGGCAACAAAAATCAGGCAAGAAAGAGAGGGGTGGGCAGACTGCATATTTTTGGATTGCCAGAAAGCCTTTGACACAGTATCACACAAGAGGCTAGTGCAAAAGCTGGAGATGCAGGCAGGAGTGAAAGGGAAGGTACTCCATTGGATAAGGGAGTACCTAAGTAACAGAAGACAGCGAGTCACTGTGAGGGGTGAGGCCTCAGATTGGCGAGGCGTCACCAGTGGAGTCCCGCAGGGTTCAGTCCTTGGACCTATACTGTTTCTGATATATGTAAATGATCTCCTAGAGGGTATAGAATCGTTCCTCTCATTGTTTGCTGATGATGCAAAAATTATGAGGAGGATTAAAACAGAGGAAGATAGTATGAGGCTACAAGATGACCTAGACAGACTGAATGAATGGTCCAACAAATGGCTATTAAAGTTCAACCCGAGTAAATGTAAGGTAATGAAACTAGGCAGTGGAAACAGGAGGCCAGACACAGGATACCGAATGGGAGATGAAGTCCTTCATGAAACGGACAGAGAGAAAGATCTAGGAGTTGATATCACACCAAACCTGTCTCCTGAAGCCCACATAAAAAGAATAACATCTGCGGCGTATGCGAGGCTGGCTAACATCAGAACTGCCTTCAGGAACCTGTGTAAGGAATCATTCAGAACCTTGTATACCACATATGTAAGACCAATCCTGGAGTATGCGGCCCCAGCATGGAGCCCGTACCTTGTCAAGCACAAGACGAAGCTGGAAAAAGTTCAGAGGTATGCCACTAGGCTAGTCCCAGAACTAAGAGGCATGAGTTACGAGGAAAGGCTGCGTGAAATGCACCTCACGACACTGGAAGACAGAAGAGTAAGGGGAGACATGATCACTACCTACAAAATTCTCAGAGGAATTGACAGGGTAGATAAGGATAAACTGTTTAACACGGGTGGTACGCGAACAAGGGGACACAGGTGGAAACTGAGTACCCAAATGAGCCACAGGGACGTTAGAAAGAACTTTTTCAGTGTCAGAGTAGTTAACAGATGGAATGCATTAGGCAGTGATGTGGTGGAGGCTGACTCCATACACAGTTTCAAATGTAGATATGATAGAGCCCAATAGGCTCAGGAATCTGTACACCAGTTGATTGACAGTTGAGAGGCGGGACCAAAGAGCCAGAGCTCAACCCCCGCATGCACAACTAGGTGAGTACACACATGATCATTCACACTTGAATTAAGAACAATATAATTCTCAATTGAATAAGTATGAGGAGAGGAGAAGGTGTGTGGCGCCACAACCCGTGCTGGCGCCACAACCCGTGCTGGCACCACAACCCGTGCTGGCGCCACAACCCGTGCTGGCGCCACAACCCGTGCTGGCGCCACAACCCGTGCTGGCGCCACAACCCTTGCTGGCACCACAACCCGTGCTGGCGCCACAACCCGTGCTGGCGCCACAACCCGTGCTGGCGCCACAACCCGTGCTGGCGCCACAACCCGTGCTGGCGCCACAACCCGTGCTGGCGCCACAACCCGTGCTGGCGCCACAACCCGTGCTGGCGCCACAACCCGTGCTGGCGACCACTCAGATAACACTACACAAGTGGACCAGGAGCCGCAGTGCAAGGACACGAGTCATGAGAAAGTGTTCTGGTCACTCTTGAAGGTTCTCTTTCATTCAACCGAACGAACGAGTCTTTCATCCGAACACACACTCGTTCCTTCTCACCTTGCACCTAAAAGAGACCTGTTCCCATTGTCCTTGAAGCTGCAATTGTCTCACTGGTAAGTGTTGGCAAACAAAAGTGCAAACAAACAAAAGAGCAACAACACTGTCCCTGGCCAGGTATTAACACCTTTTATTATTTGTGTCAACTCCACAATCTCCACTTCACGTCCCGCCAGGAGGACCAACGGGGTGACACAGCCTGGCAACTCTATAACAACAAAGGCCGTATTCCTAGCAGAATGAACCCACTTAGTCTGTCTGCTATCCTTTGGCTAGAAGACGGGGAAGAGGTGGGGTTTGCCCTTAACTGCTCTCAGGGTTGTTAATTAGTGGTGAATGAGGAGTAATACAATGTCTTCACTCAACGTTTGTGTCCTGTACTCTTGGGAAGAGTGACTGTTACAGGTGAGCCTCTCACCCTTAACACTAATCCATATCCATCCATCTTACGGATAAAAATGGATGACCCTGTCACCCTTTAAACCGACCTACATCCATCCAACATACAGGCAAATATAACAACGCCTGTGTTCACCTTGCAGTATACGGGTTACCTGTGAGTTAGGCAACTATTATGGGCAGCAGCCTGCGGACCGCCAGTCTTGGCTGTGCTCCGTGGGCACCCATCACACAGGGACCCTCAGCCACAGTACACACACACCACCAGGACACCGACGTTTGAGAGTACACTTGTGGCTGTCAGTGATACCTACATGACCCAACCCCGACACCCAAGGGCCACCGACCATACAATGGAAGACACTGTTACTGACATGGATCACTTCACCAGCATAACAAAATTAACAAAGGAAACATGTGGCTAACTTGGGTAGTTAAACAAGTGGCTGGCTCGCTGGTTGACAAGTTAACTGGTTGACTGGCTGGTTAATTGGTTGTATGGGTAGTTATCTGACTGGATGCGTGGGGTCCCCCCATATCACACCTGTACTCACCACACACACACCAGGTACTCACCACACACACACACCAGGTACTTACCACACACACACCAGGTACTCACCACACACACACCAGGTACTCACCACACACACACACCAGGTTCTCACCACACACACAAACACCACACACACACCACCACACACACACCAGGTACCACCACACCCACACCAGGTACTCACCACACACACACCAGGTACTCACACCACACACACACCAGGTACTCACACCAGGTACTCACCACACACACACCAGGTACTCACCACACACACACACCAGGTACTCACCACACACACAAACACCAGGTACACCACCAGGTACTCACCACACACACCACACACCAGGTACTCACCACACACACACACAGGTACTCACCACACACACACCAGGTACTCACCACACACACACCAGGTACTCACCACACACACACAGGTACTCACCACACACACACACACCAGGTACTCACCACACACACACCAGGTACTCACCACACACACACACCAGGTACTCACCACACACACACACACCAGGTACTCACCACACACACACTCACCACACACACACACACCAGTACTCACCACACACACACACTCCCAGGTACTTACCACACACACACCAGGTACTCACCACACACACACACACCTCACCACACACACACACCAGGTACTCACCACACACACACCACCAGGTACACCACAGGTACTCCACACACACACCAGTACACACCACCACCCACCAGGTACTCACCACACACACACACCCAGGTACTCACCACACACACACACTCAGGTACTCCACCACACACACACCCAGGTACTCACCACACAAACCACCAGGTACTCACCACCCACACACACACCAGTACTCCCCACCCACACACACCAGTTACTCACCACACACACACACCAGGTACTCCCACACACACACACCAGTACTCACCACACACAACACACACCAGGTACCACCACACACACACCAGGTACTCAGGTACTCACCACACACACACACACCAGTACCACCCACACACACACAGGTACTCACCACACACACACACACCAGGTACTCACCACACACACACCAGGTACTCACCCACACCACACACCCAGGTACTCACACACACACACACACCAGGTACTCACCACACACACACACACCAGGTACTCACCACACACACACACCAGGTACTCACCACACACACACACCAGGTACCTCACCACACACACACCAGGTACTCACCACACACACACACCAGGTACTCACCACCACACACACACCAGGTACTCACCACACACACAACACCAGGTACTCACCACACACACACCAGGTACTCACCACACACACACCAGTACTCAGGTACTCACCACACACACACACAGGTACTCAGGTACTCACCACACACACACACACACCAGGTACTCACCACACACACACACCAGGTACAGGTACTCACCACACACACACACAGGTACTCACCACCACACACACCAGTACTCACACCAGGTACTCCACCACACACACACACCAGTACTCACCACACACACACACACCACACACACACACACCAGGTACTCACCACACCACACACCAGGTACTCACCACACACACACCACCAGGTACTCACCACACACACACACCAGGTACTCACCACACACACACACCAGGTACTCACCACACACACACAGGTACCAGGTACTCACCACACACACACCAGGGTACTCACCACACACACACACCCAGGTACTCACCACACACACACCAGTATCACCACACCACACACCAGGTACTCACCACACACACCAGTACACCAGGTACTCACCACACACACACCAGGTACTCACCTCACACACACACACCAGGTACTCACCACACACACACACTCACCACACCACACGTACACCACACACACACCAGGTACTCACCACACACACACACTCACCACACACACCAGGTACTCAGGGTACTCACCACACACACACCAGGTACTCACCACACACACACACACCAGGTACTCACCACACACACACCAGGTACTCACCACACACACACACCAGGTACTCACCACACACACACACACCAGGTACTCACCACACACACACACACCAGGTACTCACCACACACACACACACCAGGTACTCACCACACACACACCAGGTACTCACCACACATCAGTTTTAGAAGTAAAGATGCCGTCCAAGAATGCTTCAGGCGGCATCCACTTGACCGGTAGCATGGCCTTGCCGCCCTTCCTGTAGTAGTCGTTCCTGTGGGAGAGTAGTGGGTGGTTAGTGGTGGTGGTAGTGGTGGTAGTGGTGGTAGTGGTGGTGTTCGGAGCTAGAAATATAGGCCTGGTTGTGAAGGCTGAGTCAAGAGGGTAGGAGCTCATAAAAAATAATAAAAGTAAACAAAGCCGCCATGAGTGAGGAGGGATGAACAGGTTTCGTAGTGGAGCTGTCAGTGAGTCATGACTCTTACTCCTTCACCTGACTCATGACTCTTACTCCTCCGCCTGACTCATGACTCTTACTCCTCCACCTGACTCATGACTCTTACTCCTCCACCTGACTCATGACTCTTACTCCTCCACCTGACTCATGACTCTTACTCCTCCGCCTGACTCATGACTCTTACTCCTCCACCTGACTCATGACTCTTACTCCTCCGCCTGACTCATGACTCTTACTCCTCCACCTGACTCATGACTCTTACTCCTCCACCTGACTCATGACTCTTACTCCTTCACCTGACTCATGACTCTTACTCCTCCGCCTGACTCATGACTCTTACTCCTCCACCTGACTCATAATGCACACACTTCAGAGCATATGAGTCTGTGTACAGAGAGAGAGAGAGAGAGAGAGAGAGAGAGAGAGAGAGAGAGAGAGAGAGAGAGAGAGAGAGAGAGAGAGAGAGAGAGAGAGAGAGAGAGAGAGAGACAGACAGAGACAGACAGAGACAGACAGAGACAGACAGAGACAGACAGAGACAGACAGAGACAGACAGAAAGAGAGAGAGAGAGACTCTCCGTCAGTGCCAAGCCTCCTCATCACTGCCAATCAACACACGAGTACAGACAGACGGACGAATCATCACCACAAACTACCCACTTGCGTCGTGACCAAACAGTGCCGCCACAACTGTCAATCTCAGCCCCACTATCTCCCTTCCCGTCAAGGTGACGGGGCGGTACCCGTCACCTCCCTCTACACCGTCACAATTTCCACGCTCTCATCCACAGCGTCACAATTCCGGCGCTTTAGTGATATTAAAAACATTATAATATTGACGCTCTCAGACTCTAGTATAGCTGCTATGGGATAGGCGGGTTGGTTGGGCTCGTCCTTTCTGGTTAGACAAAACAGTCGTGTTTTTTACGGAAAGGATTATAGAGTAAGGTTGTCTTAACTGGCCACTCCGTCAATAATGCAACTGTTGAGACGGGAATATTTGGCTTGATTCTTGATGAGTATGAGCTGTGGGGGGTGGGCGAGGGTATGTTGTGGAGGGTATGGGTATGTTGTGAAGGGTATGGGTATGTTGTGGAGGGCATAGGTATGTTGTGGAGGGCGAGGGTATGTTGTGGAGGGTATGGGTATGTTGTGGAGGGCATAGGTATGTTGTGGAGGGCGAGGGTATGTTGTGGAGGGCGAGGGTATGTTGTGGAGGGCATGGGTATGTTGTGGAGGGCATGGGTATGTTGTGGAGGGAATGGGTATGTTGTGGAGGGTATGGGTATGTTGTGGAGGGTATGGGTATGTTGTGGAGGGCATGGGTATGTTGTGGAGGGCATGGGTATGTTGTGGAGGGAATGGGTATGTTGTGGAGGGTATGGTATGTTTGGTCGAGGGTATGGTGTGGAGGGTATGGGGTATGTTGTGGAGGTATGGGTATGTGTGTGGAGGGTATGGGTATGTTGTGGAGGGCGAGGGTATGTTGTGGAGGGTATGGGTATGTTGTGGAGGGAAAGGGTATGTTGTGGAGGGTATGGGTATGTTTGAGGGTATGGTATGTTGTGGAGGGCGAGGGTATGTTGTGGAGGGTATGGGTATGTTGTGGAGGGCGAGGGTATGTTGTGGGGTATGGGTATGTTGTGGAGGTAGGGGTATGTTGGGAGGGTATGGGTATGTTGTGGAGGGTATGGGTATGGGTATGTTGTGGAGGGCATGGGTATGTTGTGGAGGGTATGGGTATGTTGTGGAGGGCATGGGTATGTTGTGGAGGGCATGGGTATGTTGTGGAGGGCATGGGTATGTTGTGGAGGGCATGGGTATGTTGTGGAGGCATATGTATGTTGTGAAGGACATGGGCATGTTGTGGAGGGCATGGGTATGTTGTGGAGGGCATGGGAATGTTGTGGAGGGTACGGGTATGTTGTGGAGGGTGAGGGTATGTTGTGGAGGGCATGGGTATGTTGTGGAGGGCATGGGTATGTTGTGGAGGCATGGGTATGTTGTGAAGGGCATGGGTATGTTGTGGAGGCATGGGCATGTTGTGGAGGCATGGGCATGTTGTGGAGGCATGGGTATATTGTGAGGGGGGGGGCATGGGTATACAGTCAAGGCCAGAAGGCCTATTGGCCCATACAGGACACCTCGTATATATACCCACCCAAACTCACTCATATATATGTCTAGCCTACGCTTGAAACACTCCAGCGATCATCAAGTCGATTATGTTACCCGGTGATTAGTCCCATACATCAGGCAACGTATTACCTAAGCAATATTTACCCAGGTCTCTCCTGAACCTCAAGTTATTCAACTTATATCCGTTGACTGGAGTTTGCTCTCGTGTTGATGTATTTACAATGTGATACATATCTCCCTAGCTGGGAGGTTGTGTGTAGTGCTGGCTGAGGTGACAATGGTGGTACCTCGACGGTACTTCGTAGGGAGTGTGGTGTCTTCGCTGTGAGCACTGAGGTTTGTGTAGTGCTGGCTGAGGTGACAATGGTGGTACCTCGACGGTACTTCGTAGGGAAGTGTGTGGGTCTTCGCTGTGAGCACTGTGGCGCCCTCTGCGTGGAACTGTAGCAAATGAAGCAGCGTGTTTGTCCAGGCAAGAGGGCAAGCAGCCTAGGCAAGTTCCTTCTCTCGGAGAGTCTCGAACGACAAGGAGATTACGAGGTCTCTGACAAGGCCATTTATAGCTTTCGCCAAGACCACCAATTGAATCACGGCTTTGGAGGATGAGTGTTGTAGGGATCTGCGGAACAGATTACCGGGTGGGATCGCTGGGGGTGTTTCAAGCGTAGGTTAGACATATACATGAATCAGTTTGGGTGGATATAAACAGGAGCTGCTCCGTACGAGACATTAACGTCTTCTGGAGTTTCCATAATTCTAATGCTCTTAGATAAACCTGATTAGATATGTTGTTTCTAATGTTGTATAAACATACCCCAGCATGGCATGTGGTGTGACCCACACTCCATGTGTCTCCTTCACTCAACAATAAATTAAAATTTAATTAAAAAACAAATTTGTTCATGAATGTTTGTATATGTATACTTTAGTTTACACAAAGTACATGTTGTCAAGTTTCCTCAACACTCGGTCAAGTTTCCTCAACACTCGGTCAAGTTTCCTCAACACTCGGTCAAGTTTCCTCAACACTCGGTCAAGTTTCATCAACACTTGGTCAAGTTTCCCGAACACTTGGTCAAGTTTCCTGAACACTCGGTCAAGTTTCCTCAGCACTCGGTCAAGTTTCCTCAGCACTCGAATCAACACTCGGTCAAGTTTCCTCAACACTCGGTCAAATTTCCTCAGCACTCGGTCAAATTTCCTCAACACTCGGTCAAGTTTCATCAACACTCGGTCAAGTTTCATCAACACTTGGTCAAGTTTCCTCAACACTCGGTCAAGTTTCCTCAACACTCGGTCAAGTTTCCTGAACACTCGGTCAAGTTTCCTGAACACTCGGTCAAGTTTCCTCAACACTCGGTCAAGTTTCCTCAGCACTCGGTCAAGTTTCCTCAGCACTTGGTCAAATTTCCTCAGCACTTGGTCAAATTTCCTCAGCACTTGGTCAAGTTTCCTCAGCACTTGGTCAAGTATCCTCAACACTCGGTCAAGTTTCCTCAACACTTGGTCAAGTTTCCTCAGCACTTGGTCAAGTATCCTCAGCACTCGGTCAAGTTTCCTCAACACTCGGTCAAGTTTCCTCAACACTCGGCCAAGTTTCCTCAACACTCGGTCAAGTTTCCTCAACACTCGGCCAAGTTTCCTCAACCCTTGGTCAAGTTTCCTCAACACTCGGTCAAGTTTCCTCAGCACTTGGTCAAGTATCCTCAACACTCGGTCAAGTTTCCTCAACACTCGGTCAAGTTTCCTCAACACTCGGTCAAGTTTCCTCAACACTCGGCCAAGTTTCCTCAACCCTTGGTCAAGTTTCCTCAGCACTTGGTCAAGTATCCTCAACACTCGGTCAAGTTTCCTCAACACTCGGCCAAGTTTCCTCAACACTTGGTCAAGTTTCCTCAACACCCGGTCAAGTTTCCTCAACACTCGGTCAAGTATCCTCAACACTCGGCCAAGTATCCTCAACACTCGGCCAAGTTTCCTCAGCACTTGGTCAAGTATCCTCAACACTCGGTCAAGTTTCCTCAACACTCGGCCAAGTTTCCTCAACACTTGGTCAAGTTTCCTCAACACTCGGTCAAGTATCCTCAACACTCGGCCAAGTTTCCTCAACACTCGGTCAAGTTTCCTCAACACTCGCCAAGTTTCCTCAACACTCGGTCAAGTATCCTCAACACTCGGCCAAGTTTCCTCAACACTCGGTCAAGTTTCCTCAACACTCGGCCAAGTTTCCTCAACACTTGGTCAAGTTTCCACCACACATGGCCAGTTGTGTCAGGTAGTTAGAGGGAGGTGGTTGAGAGCCGTTCATCAGGAGCTCAATACCGCCAGTGCTCTACAAGTGAGATCTTCCCTATCAGGGGAATATATTAGCACAATTTTAATTTTGCTAATGGCGTTTTTTTCGTGGGGGAGATGGGACTGTTTTTATATTTATCGATTTCATCATGTTTGAAATTTTTGAGTTGATAATTTATTTCTGTTAGCTTTCCATTTTCGTCTTTAAGGCTGAGTGGTTCGTCTGAAGCAGATTGTGGTTCATTTTGTGCCTTGGTCCCCATCTCGCAAGCACCTTGTTATCTCTTAATGCCCCATCCCCATCCCAGCACGGCTTGCCCATTTCCCCAGCACCTCCATGCCCATCTCCACTTGCCTTAGTGGTCCCCAGCATCTCTTTCCCT